TCATTGCCCATTGACCAGATACCTCACTTTGAAAAAGGATGTTGGTTGGGCCTGGAGAGGTTGCTCGGTGCTCGTGGCCGCTCACTGTTCCTGCAGGGAACTTAGATTTGGTTCCCTGACCCCACCTGTGGCGCTCATATGCACACTCAGGCGCAGGCACATACATTTAGATTAAATATGGATAACATGAATAAACATGAATATTTTTACAAAAACATATGTTGGAGAATTAGTCTTCCACAGGGATGAGGAAAATGAGTTATCCAACTCCATGTGGTCAGCTCTGAGATTGTATAAACGACAGCAAGGGACTTGGTAGGTTTTGTTTCCATATTTATCTGTCTATACCTACATGTAACAATATCAACGAAAGAGGCCATGAACTGGGGGGAGCAAAGGGGGACATTAAAGGGGTTGGAGGGACAAAAGGGAAGGAGGAGCTGATGTGTTATATTTTAATTTAAAAAAAAATATATATATAGGTGTGTGGTTTTGCTACATATTCAGTAAAAATATCAGAATATAGCCTTGAAACTATATGTATATATACATACATATATGTAAATGTATACATGTATATATGTACGTATGTACACACACACACACATATAGGATTCAGTATATTCCCCCAAACCCTCACTCCAAGGACTGGCTTACGATAGTGTCTTCAGAACTAGCTGTAATTGAAGGACAGACTTTTGTTTTAACACTGTCTCTCCCTCACCTGTTTCTTCCTGCCCAGGCATGGTAATCCTCTTGAATGACATCATTGTCCACTGGGCACTGCGGATCATATAAGACTTTGTGACATTTGTGTCTGTTCCCCCCCCCCCACCTGTTCTGCCATAGAGACGCCAGGAAGGAATTGTGCATCTGTGGGGCAGCCTGTTTGCCCACAGGGAGAGCCGGTTTCCAGGGGAGCTTTGGGGGAACACCACGGTGGCGCTGAGGTAAGGCAACTGGTCTAGCAGGTGCTAAGGGTGCAAATGGCTAACAAGGGGACCAGTGGAGCCATACTTAGGAGTCTAACAGTCTTGAGGCCTGGCTCTGAAGAAATTTGGAGCTGGGGACGGAGAGCGTCTTCTGTGCAGGACTGCGGGTGAAGGCAGCCTTTCATGCCCACCATAGAAGGGCACTGGGGGACTGAGCTCAGACATTAGGCTTCAACACATCACTTTTCCTTTACCCTTTATGATAGATTGGGCTCTATTACAGACATGTTTAATTGGCTCAGCTAGAAAAGCTGAACTTAGCAGAACTCATTTCAGGATAAGCACTGTATGTGGTTAGAAAAGACACCCAAAGAAGTCTCTTACAAAGCATGAGGGTAGGTGAGGACCCCCCCAAAAAAAGAAAAAAAAAAGAATGCAAAAGGAAGCGGGGGCTGGTGCACTGTCGTCTCCGGAAGGTAAATTCTGGGGACAGCATCAAGGCTTTCATTTCCTGAGCATAGGCAGGTCTGAAGCAGCGCCGAAGCTTCCTAGGGACAGAGAGGCAACAGGCTGCATGTGGCATGGATGGGCACTCAGCTCACGTCCGAGTTTCAGGAACTTGGGAGGAAAAGCTATCAAATGGGACTCTCTGAAGCCCCAGCTAACTGCTTGAGGTTCTGAGTCTCCAAACCACTTCTTCCAAGAGATGACAAGACCCAGTGTCAAAGGAAAAAAAATCAGAATATATTTGCTGATGAAGTTGACTCCTAAGAAACAAAAGCAGGGTAGCCCTGACTGCCAAGATTCCCTACAGGAAAAGTGCTCAGAGCTAAAGCAACAGGAAACGACATATAGAAGAGGATTCTGGAAGCCCAGCACAGGCTTCGGAGACATTTCTTGTCTCAGACCACACAGGGGAGCTCTTTTTCTTCTTCCACTGACTGAGAAGCCACCAAAGAGACTCCAGGTTACTGGGGGAGGAGCTGTTGACAGAAGAACTCGCTGCTATGCAACTTGGCATAAACCAAGACCCCAACGATGAAACCAGGTGCACACATTAAACTTGGTGTTCGTGCAAAACAGCCTGAGAAACCAGTATGGCACGTCTGTTACTCCAGGGTGACTGTAACAAAACCCTCAACGCTAACATCAGGAACCTTCTGATGGTGACATCCCTAGGATGGCCAAGGGTCAGCAAGCAGACTCCTGGGGTTAACTCTTCACAGTTGGTGAGGGACAGTCAAGGCTGACTGGACTTGAGCAAACCCATTAGATAATGGAGGTCAAAGAAGGCTTCTGTCCTCCTGAGGCAGATCCCGAGTTAGACACGAAAGCCCCCCAGCTATAATTATATGTATTTTAAAACCCGCTCTCTAATTTTATGGCATGTGCTGTATTTAATCTTGCAAGCATTTAGTAAATTCTTGCTAAAAAAAAATATGTGAGTCTCATTTCAACTCTAAGGCTGAATTAGGGGCACTGATTCATTTAACAGTTATGTAGAGCAGATTGCTGAACTGTTGATAAACTCACGAAGAGGAAGGGGCAAAGCTCACAGGAAAATGGTGGGGTGGTGGCGATGAGGCAGGCAGAAAGAGATGCGTTGGGGTCAGCCGTAAAAGCAAGCTGTGTGAATGTCTCTAGAAAAGGGAAACCCAAAGAACACAGTTTGTTGCCATCATGGGACTGTTTTATTAAGACATGCTTGGGGTGATGTTTTTCTTGCCAGAGGCCAGTCACGCTGCTGAGGACTAAAATGGTTTTCATGGATCCACAAGAAAAGTGTGAACAGAGGACCACAGGTGCCAACTGTTTCTAGCCCATCGCCATCACACCTTTCCTCTGAGAACTATTCACACGACAGAGCCTGCTCTTGGCTGCCGGAGTTTCCAGTCTCCACACCCTAGTGCCTGCATTGGAGATTGGGATAGAGGCTTGACTCTGTACTGGCCAGCTCGCTTTTCTGGAGAAACTGACATTGTGGGCTGAGAACCCAACTGTGTGGCTCTGTAGTGAACGCCACACACCTGTCACTGGTCTCCAGAACAGACTGGTTTTGGTATGTGCAAGGACACTGATGGAACATTTGCCTAACCCTCTCAGGCACTACTGTCCAATTCTACCAGCTGCTTTCTGCTTAAGCTGACCTGCAGGCTTCCTTCACCTTGCTTCCAGAAACATAACAAGATCATCTCTCTAGGTGAGAAGGATGTGCAGCTCAAGATACAGGGCCTTAGGAATACGTATTTCTCGAATGTTCCAAGGGCTTTGTCAATTTCTTGGAAATGGCTGGCCTGCTGGTTAGTGTGCTGTTGCGTCCTGAGTGGACCTACCAGCATGTATTCCTAATTGTAAACATAGTGGTGTTTCAAATGTAGCCTAACCATAGACCCAAAAGATGCTCAGGTATATAAGGACGTTTGCTCAACTATGTTCATAGCAGTTTTATTTTTAATAGCCAGAAGCTGGAAACAACCCTGATGTCCCTCAGTTGAGGAACGGATACAGAAATTGTGGTACATTTACACAATGGACTACTCAGCAATTAAAAACAAGGAAATCTTGAAATTTGTGTGCAAATGGTAGGAACTAGAAAAGATCATCCTGAGTGAGGTATCCCAGAAGCAGAAAGACACTCACTTATATACTCACTTATAAGTGGATATTAGATATATGATATAGGATAAACATACTAAAATCTGTACACCTAAAGAAGCTAATCAAGGAGGACCCTGGTTAAGATGATTAATCCTCATTCAGAAAGGCAAACGGGATGGACATCGGAAGAGGAAGAAACCAGGGAAAAGGACAGAAGCCTACCACAGAGGGCCTCTGAAAGGCTCTACCCACCAGGGTATCAAAGCAGAGGCTGAGACTCATAGCCAAATTTTGGGCAGAGTGCAGGGAATCTTATGAAAGAAAGAGGAGATAGAAAGACCTGGAGAGGACAAGAGCTCCACAAGGAGAGCAACTGAACCAAGAAATCGGGGCACAGGGGTCTTTTCTGAGACTGATACTCCAACCAAGGACCATGCCTGGAGATAACCTAGAACCCCTGCACAGATGTAGCCCATGGCAGTTCAGTGTCCAAGTGGGTTCCATAGAAATGGGAACAGGGACTGTCTCTGACATGAACTGTTTGGCCTGCTCTTTGATCACCTCCCCCTGAGGGAGGTGCAGCCTTACCAGGCCACAGAGGAAGACAATGCAGCCACTCCTCATGAGACCTGATAGACTAGGATCAGCGGGAAGGGGAGGAGGACCTCCCCTATCAGTACACTGGAGGAGGGGCATGGGTGGAGAGGGAGGGTGGAATTGGGAGAGAATGAGTGAGGAGGCTACAGTTGGGATACAAAGTGAATAAACTGTAATTAATAAAAAAAAATGTTTTTTAAAAAAATGTAGCCTAACATGGTGCATGGCTTTAATCGCAGCTCGGGGGAGGCAGAGGCACTGTTGCAGGTCCGACAGCCCGGTCTACGAAGGGAGACCAGGTCAGCGGGGCTACTGCACAGGCTATCACATTATCTGGAGGGGTGGGGGGTGGGGGGATGTAGCGTTAACACCAGTTTGAAAACCAGTGTGACAGAGCACTGCCATCACTTCCATGTCAGCTGCACACAGTAGGTGTCCACTGAAAGCCTGTTAAATACCTAAGGCTCTGTGTAAGCAAGCCCTTAGCCACGCTTTGTAACTGCATTGCTAAGCTTGGGACCTTAGTTTCTCATAGCTGTCTTTGGAAACTTCTCAAGCTGTCTTCTCCTTATGATTCCCTCAGCCTTCAAGGACCCGGGCACAGCCTGGCAATCCTTGCCCCACACAACACATGCCCATCAAAGCGAATCTGACCTTCCAGACCTTCCCAAAGATTCCTTAATCTCCACTGTGCACTAGGGTAGCTTCCTAAAAACAAATGGACTCGGCTGTACCAGCCCCCAGCAGTTAGAAGACTAAACCTCCAACCCAAAGCTGTAACCTTGGAGTCTCTGGCACTTACTGAACACTGTTTTATAAGGCACCTGATTCGCCCCCTCATCCCATTAACCAGAATGAAAAGAAAAAGGCTAGTCAGGATTAAGCATGTATTTATTTTAGTTCAGTTAAAACAAACGTACATTGTTTCATTGAAACTTGTGTAGCACTCCTTGCCAGCATGCCATAATGGCATGTTAGCCTCTAACAGCACAGTGGGGACATTTACACTATACACACAGCAAGGCTTCCATGCCCTCAAGATCACACTCAGCACGTGACCAGACAGCATGTGGTAGGCCCCGCATCATGGAAATTTAGGCCTCATTTAAAGCTTTTAACATTTCTACTTAAATTGACATCCAATCAGTTTATTGCAAATAGAATTTAAACAAGTACTTTCAATTTTAGTATTATACAGTGTCAATTTCTAACATTGAATTCTCTGTACATGTACTTTGGGGACTTATATATAATGTAAATTCATCAAAATGCAGTTAAGAAACTTATGGGAGTATCTACATTTGAACCCAGGACCCAGTTCCACTGGTATATACACTCTATTTACAAATACATATGGACAATGTATGTACAGTTTATCATAAATATTGAAAAATAGGTTAGCTTTAATGGATTAATGCTGCTCTATAAATAACAGTACAGTTATAACTGAAACTTCGTCCATGGAAGACAGCAATGCAAAAATGAGGTGACAGGGCAGTGGTTTTAATACTGAAGACTGCTCAAGATTGGGATTCAGTTTAGGAACCTCAAGGCAGATAAACAGCCCCAAGCGTTGGGATTTGGCCTAAAATGCATTTTGAGCCTTAAATTGTGCTCCCTCAAAAAAGGTTCAGGAAGTCTCTCCACACTGACAGGCCATGAATAGGATTTTCTCCTCCACCTCTTCCTGGTTGCCATGGCACCCTTTCTCTGATGCCTGTTTCTCCGCAATCTCCTGGCAGATCTTATCAGCAACTCTTTCCAGGTCTTCAAGTGGAAGTGCTGATTCCTGAACTACAGGTGTGGTTCTGGATTTGAATGAAATGAAAGCAGTGTGGTAGTGTCTCCTCACTGCCTTTGCTTCTAGATGGCCCCCAGTGATTTCATCTTCGGGACGAAAAGGACCACTGGTTTCACCCAATGCAGCAATAACAGACGTCTTCCATTCTGCAAGGGTCTTTAACAGCAGACAGATCTTGCCTCTGAATTTAGTCACATACACAAGACCATGTAACAAAACCCATGTGTGCCAATCTCCGGCCTTGCCTCAAACTAAAAACGTTTAGTTCAAGAGAAAACCTTAAGAGCCAAATGGCCAATTAATGATTCCACTTGCTTCCCTCAACCACTTAATGGAATTATGTATATTAGATCTTAGACATTATGCCTGATGAGCAAAGTACCACATTATTTAATAATATATTCACCATACACCGTTAACATACAGTAAATGTGCTCTTAAAGCCAAGCTTCAAAGTGATACCCACTTCTAACTGGAATTGAAATGGAAAGGTAAGCACGCAGCTGGACCAGAAACCAAGTACAGCCAGGTTGTACTACTTCCCCTAACTAATCATTTGTTCGTTGTAAACAAATCGTTCTGCATTGTACACAGATGAGATGACAATCCAGTGCGAGTTTTTAGAAAGCTGGCTGCATGAGAAACCCAGTGACCTTTCCACGCGCCGTCCAGTGTGCCAGCGTTGGTGCAGCCTGCGGTCAGGTTAGACCTCTGCTGTGGTCACAGCAGGAACGCAACTGAGCCACTTGTTGTCAAGTAAATCACGCTTCCAGTAGATGTGCGTGTGAAAGCTGCCTTTTCTATCGGATAGGTCTGGCCTACTGCCACCAAACCATCTCACTTCTGGAAGCCATGTTTTTAAAATAGGTGGGCCCAAAAGCACTACCCAGAGCTGACCACACAACTGGAGACAGGCGCAACTGAATAAACCCTGTTGTACCCAATCGCACTATTTGGTACCTCAAAATCAGTTATTTCATTTCCTACAGGAACATCTGCACTGTTTTCCAGCCTACTAGACTGAACACATTAACATTTTAGTTTTAATGAACCAAATTATCTGGAGGCAAAGAAAGTGATGAACGGAGTTCACCTGTTTGGTACAACAATTACCAATTACCCTTTGAATGAAATCTGAACGAACAAAACATAACTATGCTAATTCACGGTGCAATTTTTCATAACATTTTCCTGAAAATGATTTTTGGGTAAAAAAGTATTTGGCTTATAATGCCTACAAAAAAGGCAAATAATTTCATAATACTAATATTCACTTTTAAACATCAATGAAATTGTTTTACGGAGTTTACTGACAACTGGTTCCGGATAAAGTTCAAAAAATGCAATTTCTTCAAAGTAAAATAGTGCTTCTGAGGTCTTTTAAAGTATTTTTGGTACAAAAAATAAGTGTTTTTCTCAATGCTTATTTCAATACTTTGCTGTAAATTAAGAAGTGTTTCTCACATCGAATGGTTCCGTTAGGCACATTCAAGTAAAATCATAAAATATCCAAGTTAAACAATGACACAGCCAAACATGTGGCTTGATAAAAGTTAAAAGTTCATCCATTCTCTGGAATGGAATAAATTGTCACTTCCCTTAACCCAAGACTCGTGGTTTCCTTGGTAATATCCATTCCCTAACACACAGATAAGTTTCTTTAAAAAAACAAAACAAAACAAAACAATAAAAAAGAAAAGTTCACTTATTCTGCATTCGGAAGAACCAGCGAGGAATCTGCACTTCAAAAGGAAGTGAACTGAAAGCATCGGGTGAAATTTCTGAGTAAGTTGACTGCTGACTCAACACTGGTGTCAGATGGACTGCTGAGCTTTCGTGGTGCCATTAATGGCCACCTGCAGAGGCATTGTGTACCCAATCCAAGACAATCAAGGCCATGCTCCCGATCATCACCACTATGCCACTCAACAGGAAACACAGGGCCTGCAAGAAGCAGAAGACTCATCAGCAAGGGACCCTTAAAGTCACACACTAAGTTACAATATTCTAGTTTCACCTGACTAAATATGAACTCTTTTGACTGACTGAGTAGTTATTTGTAGCACAGAAAGCCTACAGCTGAAACATTCTGGGCTTCTGCAAGAGGTCCTCCTGCTGAAACACCTGAATTGGCTTTGTGTGTGTTTCTCAATAGAACAAACGTCACAAAATTAAGCCGAGGCGAGCCCTGGAGTTGGAGGGAACGTGAATGGGCCTTTTCTTTAGTACAGCCATTTGCGTACCTGTAATTCCTCACCCACGGCCTTGGAATTAATAAACTCACTGAGTTAAGGGGGCAGAGCTTGGCTTGGAGGTGCCCTCTGGGCTCAACAGTTTATCTCCCTAGGAAAAGTTCACCCCAGTTTATTTCTAACCTCATTCTTCAGACCAGAATGGCAGTGGCGAGCAGGGCCGACAAGTCTTTTGCTCCTACGTATCCCTTGCTAGGATCCTGGCTGTTCCAAAGCTTGGGGTTTGTGCTTAGTGTATCTCCCCTGTGAAACAAGGCTCCTGAACCTAAGACTAAACACACAGCAGTAAACTCATGCAGAGCAGGACCCTCCCCTCCAACTCTACACAGGGTCCGTCTCTCAACTAAACCCATCTCGGCTTCCTGCAGCCTACACAGCAGACGTGCCTACCTGTGCCCGTCATGCAGGGCACCAGCAGCACGCCAATGCCTTTGCACTCTTCTTTAGAAACTTCTTTGCAGTCATGTTATCTACTGCATAGCACATCCCATCCCCACCCCCCCTTCGATGAGGTGCTTCACTACCAAAGCTTTACAAGAAAAGTTAACCACTGATTGTACGGTCAGGTCATCTCTCACTCACCCCGATCTTCTGCACAGATCTCATAGGTTCTTTCTTCACTAACTTGATGTAGAAGGCAGATGGAAGAATGAAGATCAGCATGGCGGCCGCCGACGCACCTGTAAGAGGCCATTCCCCACTTGAGAACTCATGGAGTCTGTTTTTTTGAGTTCTAATATTCTAGGCACACAAATCAAGACCACCTACAGATTCAATGCGACTCCCATCAAAATTCCAACATAATCCTTTACAAACTTACCAATGAAACCGAAGATGTCCCTAATAGTAGGTACAAAGATGACAAGGAGATTGGTAAAGGCCAAGATAGACACGGTGATGACAGTGTGGCGCCACCAGCTGAACTCTTTCGCTGCACACAGTAAGTGAGTGACAGAGCTCCGGATCTGAGAAGAAAAGGTAAGTACCGTTTATCATGTAACAGTCCAACTGTAATCAATGCGAAGAACTCTCAAGCAATTGAGAATGTTATCGATGACAGTACTTCTTTTCTGGGGAGCTGGTGCTCCCGTTTTCTGCTCCGGGATGACCCGGAATCTATGCCGCATTTTATTCACCCATTCGGCACCACCCACACACAAGTCCCTCTTTTTGAGCAACACCCAGACTCATCTTGGCAGGTGCAGGGGCACGTGGTCACTTACCGGAAAAATAACTACTGGCACCGTGAGGGTGACGGCCACCAACACAGCCAAACGGACAACGAGGAGAATAATGTCGGTTTCCATGATGGAAGAGTAGGTGTGGAGCAGTTCCGATTCGACATGTTCTGTGGGGACAGAGCAGAAACGGGCTTTCAGAGCGGCTTTTCTCTGGGGATCGGGTATGAAAGCTGACTGGCAGCGGGATCTGCACTGAAATTATTAGCTACTCACAAAATGACTGCAAACTGAGAGGCTAACAAGATTAATCTGGAATTACGGTTAATGCAATTAAAGTAACATTGGAGGAGAAATTTTCTAAATACTAATTTAGCCACATGACCTCCAGCGAGGCCTAGCGGGAGCCAAGACTCTAAAGCCCAGTCTGGTTAAACTGTGTGCGCGCATACATGGTGCTGTGGGCTAAAGATGGGAGCAGAGAGAAAATGAACTGTCAACAATCGGCTCTCGCCTGCTTCGGAATTACTGTTAAACCAGATCGGAACTCTTTACAGTAAAAATACACATACAGCGTCAGTTTCACTTCAGTCTTTCTCTTTCTTAAAGCAGGCATCATTTACCGTAAAACGTCAGGTATCCAAAGAGGGCAGCAAACAGATACATCAGGAACATGGCGAAGAAGGAGATCTTGGACACATTCATCATCCGTCTCCGGCTGCGACTGCACATTCAACAGAGAGCACAAATGTGTATTTTAGCACGCTCCATACCTACTGCTTCAGTATGCGCCCAATAGACTTAGAAAAGACGGAGCAGCCTACCCTTTCAGCTCTTCATAGATGGGAAGGACAGCAGGATGGCAGACGAAGGAGAAGGTCAGGATGGGCACAGCGTACACGGTCTGAAACAGACACACCACTGTACTCAGAGCCCACGACACCACTATCAGTTCCCAGCTAAGCGCCAGAGGACCTTAAACTCCCAACTATCCCACTGTTTCCCAAGTAGGACCTGCATCCGACATCTGGGACCTGCCACAATGCCATGAGATCATTCCTCTTGCCTTCCTAGACTACAACAGAACCTCGAACTTGTCTAGTCCGCCAGTTCGTTCGTTCTCTCTCTCTCTCTCTCTTTCTAAAAAGCCATATGGCATCTATCCTTCAATTTGCCTTAAGAGATCTTTTTATCCTTTCCTAGACATTTCTTTCCAGGAAACAGGATGGAAACAAAATTACCTGTGAGTTGAAGATGAAATACTGCGGCCTACAAGAATCATCAGTCATGGTGGTGTTGGATGCCAGAGATGACCAAGCCGCCTGGGTAAAGGTGCCATTCACAGTTTCATTGATCATCAAAGCAGCTTCCACAGGGCAAGGGATCTGGAATTTCTTGCAAATCACCTGAAAATATATTTTGCATTGGTTAAGCTTGAGTAGTTTGACAGAGTTCTTTAAAAAAAAAAAAAAAAAGTGTTTTTTAAAAAAAATCATTACGTACCACAATGAGAAAGAACATCATACAGAGCAGGGACAGACCACTGGTGTACCCCAAGTATCCTAGAGGCGAAGAAGAGCAGCACTGCTTTAATCAATCGGGGATGGATGGGGGAGCACAGCACAAGACCCAACAGCTATCGCCAGTGGAGGGTTCCTACTAGCTGGGGCTTTACCAAGGTCTCGCCCTGCTGAGAGCCTACAGTCACTTCCCACCCCAAACCGCTCAGAGATGTTTGCTCACCTAGGTTTCTCAGCAGCGACAGAGGAAGAATGAGCACCAAGGACACCAACAGGACCAGATAGTCACCATTCAGATACCACAATCTGAATGAAAAGAGGAAGGCCAAACAGAAATCAACTACACATCTAACTCAGAACTTACACTCGGCGCACACACACAAAAAAGGGCAGCTTTGAAAAGGAGCATCTCTTATCCAGGGCAGGGCTCACTCTAACCGTTTGTTTCCCGAGCAGTCGGTCACTCAGGTGAGAGATGGGGCATGAAAAGCACCAGCTTTTGCGCCACTCTTTGCTCTGGGAAGTCTGCCAGCTGATTCGTAACAGAAGACGTTTCATAAAGCTTGATACTAATGCAGGCAACAAAGCTGCTCTGTGCCGCCAGCGAGCTTATCTTTAGGTGCTCTGAGAAAGACTGTACAGCGGCATTACAGTTCTAGCTTGTAATTTCTAAAATCGAAAAGCTACAATATTCTTCTGACGTTTGTTAACAGGAATACTTTGTTAAGCGTTTCACTAAGGAAATTTTCAGACACAGTGAATTTCAGATGCACAGGCAACTGCTCTCCTCCCAAATTAGACTGAACCAAATCCCCACTCAACCAGAACTTGTTTCAGATTATCACAGTAACACCCCGACTCCAAAATAATAACAGTCCAAGTCACTCTGAACCTAAATGCTCCCTAAGTTCTAGCACTGTTTCTTCTTCTAAGTAACCAAGGCCTATCCTTGCCAGGCATGGTGGCAGCTGGCATGCATTCGCACTTTTCGTCCCAGAGGCAGGTGGACTATACAGCGAGTCCCTGCCTCTTTAACAGCACTACTTTCAGGTTCTAACTCCTCAGGACTTGCACCCCACTCCCGGGAGGAATGGAGACCCCACAGAATGCTGAAGGGGTCAGTGTCTAAAGTCTCTAAAGGCACATTCAGAGAGCCACACTCTGCTTTGAGGCAGCAACCATGTGCAGCTAAGGAAGCAAATGAACCCTGGCTGCTGACATTAGACCTTGTTCCTCCACTGAGAGGAGTAACTGCAGCTAAGTTAACATTTCTACAGTGCAGCTGTGCATTTTCGGCTCTTTAAAGCAGGATTGGTTTTTGGAGAAAAACGAAACAAAACAAAAAAATAAAACCACCCTTTTGTCTTAACCAGCTCTATATTCACCAGCTGTAATAAATGCCAGTACAGACAAATCAAGCACTAGAAAAGTTCGCAGCCACGGTTTTTGTCTTTGCAAAAAGTTAAGATCAAGGGGCTGCAAAACCTCTCACCAGTTTGTGGGACCATTCCTTGTCAGAAGGAGGAATACTCGTGAGGAATGTGTTGGTAACAGTTTTTTTTAGCCAGCTTTGACAGAAATGTACCTGTGTTTCTAGAGAGTAACCTTACTTAGCACCTACCCATTTGAATCTCCAATGTTCATTAATGCCTTGATCACCAAAGGTAACTCATATTTCACTATGAAGAGGTAGCTTGACATAGCTGGAGGAAAACAAAATTAAACCATTACAAGTGCAAAATGTGGCCTGTGACAGTCACGTCACCACCTTGTGCTAGTTTTCAAACGGAGTCTATCTCGAGCGCCCTTTGAAAACCTACCTCCAATGTTCTGCATTGTGATCGAGCCGGAGGCTGCTAGCTTTCCAGCCAGTCCAAACGCCTTATGTCCCAACTGTTCGTATAACAAAGACCCTGTATTAAACAGCACAGGGGAATGAGGCGCTCTGAAAGCTCCAACCGCCCCCCCAATCAGAATAGGCACAAATTACTTGGGGGGAAAAATCAAGAATGTTACTGTACCTCCTTCATTGGCAGTCTTCAAAAGGAGATGAACAGAATACAGGGAAAATATTGACACAAATGTCAAGAGGATTCTGAGAAAAGGAAAAGGCACTCGGTTATAAATAAGCAGGGCTGTGCACTTAAAACTCTTCCTGTCTAAAACAGCACTGGTGGTCTTCCCTCTCCTAACTCTTCACTGACACTAACTTGTCGGTATCAGGTGCGTTTCACAGTATTTAAAGCAAATGTCCACAGTGTCAAATGCAGGAGACTGCAAAGCCCCAAATCCCAGGGGAGGAGAAACTTGTTTTCTCTGTGTGTATATATCTTATAACGCCATACATGTAATTATTTATATGCCTGCCTTGAGTTTAATTTAAAACTTGCCATTAAACCTAGTCTGGAAGGCTTTTTTACACCGTTCAATTGAGATGTCAGAAAAGGCTAAGATCCCATGGACCAGACAGAGAGAAATGAGTCCAGTGGAACAGTTTAGTTGGACACCAAAAATTAGTAAAAATTTTTACTAATAAATCAGAAAAGTGATGGCTGTGAAGACGCAAATTGGTGCTGGGGTTCGGCAGAACAGTGAGATGTCAGCCCCACCCTTCCACTTAGATTGGAAGAGAAAAATAAAAGAACAAGGAAGGACTAATGGGATCTAACGCCCTGTTTTCCTGGATGGTACGGGCTCTCAGTCAAATCCCACTTATCTTCTATAAAGGCAGACAAGGCAGGGATTAAAACAAAAACAGCAAACATGCAAACGAGACAGCCGCATACACCTCGACCTTGTATGGCAAAGCGGGCACACCGTGTAAGGTGCTGGGGAAACAAGGGCACGGCACAGGATGTGACTTCCACCCTAAGGTCGGTGTCACCACACCTGGTTCTGAGGTGACACTGTGAGCTTGACCGCTTGGAAAAAAGACGGTTTAATTTAAAAAATCCATTAGAGCAAATTATCTTACACAGAGATGACGATGAATTTCATGCCCTTTGAGGTCACTTTCAACCTCAAGATCACTGTTAAAAGGTCGACTGCCTCGGCATGTCAGCATGTGGCTTTTGGCCCATTTACCTTCACATGTAAGTATGATGAATAAAAAACTCACACAATCTTGTTATCATTTAGCCATTTATTAAAATGGTTAATCAAACACATAGTAAGCTATTAAAGCAGAATCCCAGAAGTTCAAGGTAACACAGGTTAAGTTTTACTTTCAGTTATGAACGGCGTTACCAATAACCCACACTAGTAGCGTTTTAAAACCTGTTCCCAGTTTTCATGGCAAGAACTAAAAAAAAGCTTCAAATGTTTAACTTTGATTCCAGCCATTCAAATTCCCACCAAAAAACTGCTTTTTCCTCTCTCGTAAGTTCCTGAGGAAATTTTGGCAAGAATACTCCAAAACCTTCATCGTGACACTTCTACTACTCAAAGCCAGGCTTAACGCTGGCATGGGACTTGACCAAGCAGAGCTTTTCTTATGTACACTCTTTATCATGCTGGAGAAAGTTACCTGAGCAGCTAACCAAAACCTAACTCTCCTGAAGAGAAAGGGACAGTTGCTGAGTGTGTAAGGTCATAGTAAAGCCAGCAGGCTTCTACAGAATCCGTGTCAACCAGGGACCTACAGGCAGTCTGAAACTTCTGACACAGTGAAAACTGCACACTCAAACTTGTACATGCTACTGTACTTCAAAAAAAAAAAATAGCATTTCTTTTTCTTGCTACCGGTCTTCCGGTCTGATAGCACTGGGAACGAAACCCAGGAAGCAATTCATGCATGCTAGGCAAGCACCCTCGTGCCTCTAACAGCCCAACAATCTTCAGTGTCACATTCCCCAGGGGTCAGTCAGCCAACACAGGCACCTCAAACAAGAATATTGGAAAACAGCTAATTAACTTAAAAAAAAAAAATTAATAGGCTCTTATTTTAAATGGTCAGGCACTGACCATACAGATCTGGAGAAATGGTATTTTAAAAAAAGTGAATTTGCTTTTTAGCATCCAGAAGACCTATGACTCACTTGTTCTAAAACAAATATGTTCTGGGCTGGGTAAATATCACCGCACCTTATAGTTCCAGAACTTTCTCTTCCTTATGTATGCGAAGGGGCCACAGGTTTTCGGGGGAAGACTGTCAACTTACGAAACCTACCTGGAGCCACTCCACTTGTTTTTAAATCAAACATTAGTTACTCTGGACTCATTGGCGTTTCTTTTACAATTAAGAATACCCCACGGCCTTTTCAAAGACTGGCCTTCACCCCCTATCTTCTGTCTAACTTGCTTTCTTGACATTTTACATGTAGCAAAACAGAGCTTTGGATTTTCTCATACTTCAAATTTAAATCAACTATGTTGAACTGCAAATTCGGTTTTCTGGAGCCAAAACTATGTTTATGGTATTAACTGCCCCGCACGGCAGGCTGGCTACTTACACATACTTACATAAAAAGAGCAATTCCAGTATTAGCCATGGCATAAGAAAGCCCAAGGATTCCACTGCCCACAATCGCATTGCTCAGATTAAATACTGACATTCCAAAGGAAGTAGTACCTGGATGCTACATAGAGGGAAAACGATAACCAAACATATAACAATAATTAAAAGGAGAAAACCAGCTTTGGGCAAGTCAGTTTTGAAATCTAAAAGTTAACACTATTTTTTTTTTACTCCATAAAGCCAGGCACATAATAGCATTTTCAACTTACAAAGTCTGTTTCGTACTTCTTCTTCCCCAAATTCGATTCAAGTAAAAAGTTCTGGTTTTCAGGATCCACGTCCACATAATGGCTGCAGAAAAATAAGAGGTCACTCACTGTAATCCAACTGAGGATATGCAAATCATGCTTTGGCGCTCATAAAGTAAAACAGCCCTTCGGTTCCGATACACTGCCATTTAGTTAAAGCAGGGGTCACACAGGCTAGGTGCTCCCCGAGACACCAGTCATGCAGTGACCGGGTAATTCAGGAAGCTACTGTCTCCAGGGCTCTGAGAGCAAGGAAGAGGCTGGGGCTCCCCGGGGAGCCTTGTTTCCTAGGTGTGAGCCTTAAGCCTGCAACCGCTGAGCCATCCCTCGAGCCCCAAGGCAACCATGTGTGCAAGCTGCCTTTGCTTTTTTCTTTTTTTGCAAAGCGCACTTCTCCCACCTTTTCAGAGCTGCCTGCTTGGTGGGGTACGAGTAGTTGAAGTCACTGTTGGAGCTGTAGCTGCTGCTGTCCTCATCCGGGGAGATGTTAAACCTTCCCATCTCGGTCTTCTTCATGCCGATCGCGGAGGCTCGGTGCGCGGCGGCGGGCGGCGCGGGCTTCCTTTTGTCCTTGGCGGCGCACTGGCCCTCGAGGCGCGCCTGCGAAGGTAGAGAGGCGGCGCGTCAGGACTGCGGCGCCCGCCCGCCCCCGACCACGTGACGCCGCCGGGCGGCGCAGCGCGGCTGATTCATCCCCCCGCCAGGCGAGTGGAAAAGTACCAGGCGAGCGAGGGGCGGGGGCGCGGCGAGGGGCGGAAAAGTACCGACGGCGGGGCCGCGAGAACAAAGATGCGCCCGCCGCGGCGCCCCTCCGGCCGCTCGGCCGGGCCCGCGCCCCACCCGCGCCCCCCGACCC